TACTGTCACATCATGCTACAATGAATGAAGAGAGACATTGACACAGTATGCTACAATTAATCAAGTGAGATACTGTCACATCATGCTACAATGAATGAAGTGAGACACTGTCACATCATGCTACAATGAATCAAGTGAGATACTGTCACATCATGCTACAATGAATGAAGTGAGACACTGTCACATCATGCTACAATGAATCAAGTAAGACAGTCACATCATGCTACAATGAATCAAGTGAGACACTGTCACATCATGCTACAATGAATGAAGTGAGACACTGTCACATCATGCTACAATGAATGAAGTGAGACACTGTCACATCATGCTACAATGAATGAAGGGAGACACTGTCACATCATGCTACAATGAATCAAGTGAGATACTGTCACATCATGCTACAATAAATCAAGTGAGATACTGTCACATCATGCTACAATGAATGAAGTGAGACACTGTCACATCATGCTACAATGAATCAAGTGAGACACTGTCACATGCTACAATGAATGAAGGGAGACACTGTCACATCATGTTACAATAAATCAAGTGAGACACTGTCACATCATGCTACAATGAATCAAGTGAGATACTGTCACATCATGCTACAATGAATCAAGTGAGACACTGTCACAGTATACTGCAATGAATCAAGTGAGACACTGTCACATCATGCTACAATGAATCAAGTGAGACAGTCACAGCATGCTACAATGAATCAAGTGAGGAAACTTTAAAGCGTGTCAGATTTATCAACCAATTGTGATGTCAGATTTATGTATAACAAATTTAAAGCAAGTCAGATTTATTAACTAGTTGTGATGTATGAAAAATTTAAAACATGGATAAAAGCTTTTATCATGATAATCAACACAGTTGATTTCAATTAAAATTGATGAAATTGTCAGTTGCTGGTTTTACAATTTCTTACATGAAAATGGAATTTGTTGTTAATAAACAAAATAACATGCTTACGTGACTACATAACACAACAATAAACTAAAGAACAGATCTTGAACTATTCTTCTCTTTACAGCATTCCAAAAAATGTTCTTCAAAAAGGTAGGAGGAAAATGAATCAGCAAAATATATAAATAATAAATAAATAAATATTGATGATGACTGACATCACATCAAATAGAAATCAAATCAAGTGCCACTTGTTGCAATGGGATGAACGGGATAAAGAATAAACTTAATCTCTACAGGGATATATAACTAACCATAGAAGCTTGCAACTGATATTTGCTTCACTCAACAAATATTTACAATTATAAATATTTGGCAGATAATACATATTTTTTTTAACATTAGCGATGCATGCTTAAACAGTCGACAATGTGAATCAAGGTGATGACAGTTTGCATTTTTGGAGTGAAGTTTGCTGTAAGGGTGACACCATGCATGATCTACAAAAACGTAACCTTCCACCATTTTTGACATTAATCATATTGACATACATGTAGGCACTTGATGTTGAAATGACTGGCACAAGACCAATCACTTCTATTTAATGTAATATCATGACATACTCATGTTAATCCACCTTGTTAAGTCCTCTATATCAACCAGCTTACTGTCTTGTTCCATCTGCAAATCATCACGAATAATTAACTGTTGAACCAATTCTTCATTTAAATCTAAAAAGTGAAAATAATGCTTTTAATAAAAGTGGGTTTACCTTGACATACCATAAAGTATAATTGTTGATGGAAGAAAAGGAAATCACTGATATTAACAGCTGTGTCCCATTATTATTGATGATAGTGGAGCAAAAAAAACACATCTGGACACATTCAACATTGGTTCTAAGATGCGAGTCATCTGTCCTCGGTCAGTACAATTTGAACATAATGTATCTGCTTGGAAATTCTGTGATTTCTACTTTTAAAGACAAATAAAAGTTTGTCAAGTCAAGAAAGCTAAATTGTGCTGAGAGACAGTTTAAAAATAAACCTGCAAACAGCCAAAATGGATGACAGGTTCTTGAGTTAAGGAAGCACAATCGGGGAAAAAATAAATGAAATGATATGGTAACATTGCCATTGTAATCAGCCATTGTATGTGTACATTTCTCTTCATTTATGTCAAGGGTTAGACATATTTAGTTATATTTGTGACACGGATATGTGTATATATACTTACTCTCAATTTGTGATCTAAGATCATTAACAATAGTTTTAATTTGACTGACTGTCATGGTGACTAATGTGGATTTCTTGAGCATTCTCTTGCCACATAAACCATCAGTAATCTCAGTCAGACCTGCAGCTCCAGCCTATTAAAAACAAATCCCAATAAATGCATTCTTCATTTACAAAGCACAAGTGATACATTAACATTTTCACCATCAGACTTTCTCGCCCAAATTTTTCACACTTTTTTCCTATATTCTTTAATATTTCTGGAAATGAATTCTAATTTTGGAGCCTACAGACAAAATTCGATTCAATTTTCAGTTTTTATTCAAAAAAATTGGATATTTTTGTCCCAACCTTCAGAAGGAAAGAGCAGACCATAAACGTGGCTATCTTGTGAATTTGTGATGAAGAGAGGTAACTGGTGTTGAAAAGGATAATGTGTGCTAAGGATAATGGAGGCATATCAATAAAAATTAATTACAAAGTTTAAATAGGAGGCCAAATATTTGCCTAGACACGGCTACTA